GGAGGCCCGGGCGGGGGGCCCCACGGAGGGGATGAGGAGGAGGAGGAGGAGGAAGAGGAGGAGGAGGAGGAAGAGGAGGAGGAGGAGGACGAGGAAGCGCTGCTCGCCGATGAGGACGAAGCGGCCGCCGCGGCCCCCGAGGCGGCCCCGGCCCAGCCCGGCCCCCCCGGGGAGGAGGAGGAGGAGGAGGAAGAAGAAGAGGAGGCGGCCCCGGCCGAGCCCGCGGGGTCGGAGCCGCTGCAGCCGCCGCAGGAGGAGGGAGCGGCGGCCGCGGCCGAGGCTGAGGCGGCCGAGGGAGGAGGAGGAGGCGGCGGCGGCGTGAACGGGGCCGAGCGGCCGCCGGAGGAGGCGCCCAGCGGGGATGAAGCGGCCGCGGCCGAGGCCAAGGAGGAGGAGGCGGCGGCGGGTGAGCGATGGGGGAGAGCCGGGACCGGGGGGAACCGGGAATGGAACCCCGGGGACCGGGAATGGAACCCCGGGTCCGGGGAATGGAACCCCGGGTCCGGGGGGGAACCGGGAAAGGAACCCCGGGAACCGGGAAAGGAGCCCAGGGAACCGGGAATGGAACCCCGGTAAACGGGAAAGAAACCCCGAGACCGGGAGGGAAACCGGGAATGGAACCCCGGGACCGGGAGGGAAACCGGGAATGGAACCCCGGGACCGGGAATGGAACCCCGGGAACCGGGGGGGAAACCGGGAATGGAACCCCGGGACCGGGGGAGAACCGGGAAAGGAACCCCGGGACCGGGAGGGAAACCGGGAATGGAACCCCGGGAACCGGGAAAGGAACACCGGGACCGGGAGGGAACCGGGAATGGAACACCGGGACCGGGAAAAGAACCCCGGGACCCTCGGGAAGGGATCGGGAAAGGAGCCCCCAGAACCGGGAACGGGATCCCCAAAACCGGGAAAGGAACCCCGAGATCTTCGGGAAGGGATCCCCGGGACTGGGAGGAAAACCGGGAAAGGAACCCCGGGAACGGAATTCCCAGAACCGGGAAAAGAACCCCGAAAACTTCGGGAGGGAACCGGGAAAGGAACCTTGGGATGCTCGGGAAAAATCCCAAAAACCGGGAGAAAAAACCGGGAAAGGCCCCGGAGCCTCGTGAGGGCCCCTCAGAAAATTCCCGGTTTTTTCCCCTCAAAATCCCAACCTCGGCCCCGGCCCCGTTCCCGGATTTTTGGGGGATAAAATCGGGATAGAATCGCGATAAAATCCAGCTAAAATCGCGATAAAATCCCCAAGTTCCCCACAGGGATTTGGGGGGAAAAAAAGCGGGAAAAATTTGAATTCCGAGGGATTTTCGTGGAGCCGCGGGTGAGGGGAAATCAATGGAGTTCCGGGAATTAAGGAATTCGGAGTTGGGATTTGGGAAAAATGGGAGGGAAAAGTCGGGGAAAATTCGGGTTTTTAAGGGAGAAATTTGGGATGGGGTTTGGAGGGAAAAAATCCTGATTTTTGTGGGTTTGTGAGGGGAAAATCCTGGTTTTTGTGGGTTTGTGAGGGGAAAAATCCTGATTTTTGTGGGTTTGTGAGGGAAAAATCCTGATTTTTTATGGATTTGTGAGGGAAAAATCCTGATTTTTGTGGGTTTGTGAGGGGAAAAATCCTGATTTATGTCGATTTCTGAGGGTAAAGTTCTTATTTTTGTGGATTTCTGAGGGAAAATTCTGATTTTTTTGTGGATTTCTGAGGGAAAAGTTCTTGTTTTTCTGGATTTGTCAGGGAAAAATCCTGATTTTTTAGGGATTTGTGAGGGGAAAGTCCTGATTTTTTAGGGATTTGTGAGGGAAAAATCCTGATTTTTGTGGATTTCTGAGGGAAAAAATCCTGATTTTTCTGGATTTCTGAGGGAAAAGTTCTGTAGTTCTGATTTTTGTGGATTTGTGAGGGAAAAATCTGATTTTTTTTGGATTTCTGAGGGAAAAGTTCTGACTTTTATGAATTTTTGAGGGAAAATTCTGGGTTTTGAGGGGAAAAATTTTAAATTTTTAGAAATAAACCAGGGGAAAATTGTTGTGAAATTGGGAGAGTTGTTTTAAGGAGAAATGTTTGGGTTTGGGTAAATTTTGGGATTTCTGGGGGAAATTTTGGATTTTTAGGGGAAAAATCTTAATTTTTAAGGAAAAATTGTGATTTCTGAGGGAAAAAATTGGATTTTTTTCAGGACAAAATCCCGAATTTTGGTGAAAAATGTTGATTTTTGATTGGAAAATCCTGGGATTTGAGGAAAAAATCACATTTTGAAGGGAAAAAAAGTGATTTTTGAGGGAAAAACTCTGATTTTTAATGGAAAAAATCTGATTTTGGGAGGATTTGCGGAGCTTGGATCCGAATTTTATTGGGATTAAAGTGAAATTATTCCCATTTTTGTCCCAATCTTTATTTTTTATGGGATAAAAACTGGAAAAATTCCATTATGGGATGTGGGGGAAAATACAAAAATTTGGATTTTATGGAAATATTTCCAAATGTTGAATTTTTTTGGCCAAAAAAGGGGAAAATTGGGATTTTTTTTGGCGTTTCCTTGGATTTATTAATTTTTTAATTTGGGTTTTCCAGTTTTTAGTGACCCAATGGATCTCGGTCTGGAATTTTTCCTTTTTTAGTGAAAAATCCCAGGGGAATTTGACATTTTTTAAGGATTTTTGAAATACTTTTGTGCCTTTTTTAACCCAATCCAGGTGGGAAAATTCATTCAGACTCCCAAGATTTTCATGGAATATTTTGCTTTAATTCAAGCAAAAAAAAAAAAAAAATAAAAAATTAAAAATTCAAATTTTAACCCTTTTTTCCTGCAATAAATGAAAATAAATTCAGATTTTAACTCTTTTTTTCTCCAGAAAAATTGAAATAAATTCCAATTTTTACCCTTTCCACCCCAAAAAAGAGAAAATAAATTAAAATTTTAACTCTTTTTTTCCTCCAGAAAAATGAAAATGCATTCAGATTTTAACCCTTTCCTCCCCAAAAATAGAAATAAATTAAAACTTTAACCCTTTCCACCCCAGAAAAATGAAAATAAATTCAAACTTTAACCCTTTTTACCCTGGAAAAATTGAAATAAATTCAAATATTAGCCCTTTTCCCCCAGGAAATTTGGAATAAATTCAAGTTTTAACCATTTTCTCCCAGAAAAGTAGAAATAAATTCAAACTTTAACCCTTTTTACTCCAGAAAAATTGAAATAAAGTCAAATTTTAACCCTTTCCTCCCCAAAAGTGAAAGTAAATTCAAACTTTAACCCTTTTTACCCCCAAAAATGAAAATAAATTCAAATTTTAACCATTTTGCCCTGGAAAAATGAAAAGAAATTCAAATTTTAACCCTTTCCTCCCCCCAAAAAAAGAAAATAAATTCAAACTTTAACCCTTTTTACCCTGGAAGATTTCAAGTAAATTCAAACTTTAACCCTTTTTACCCCAAAAAATGAAAACAAATTCAAATTGTAACCCTTTTTACCCCAGAAAATTGAAAATAAATTCAAATTTTAACCCTTTCCTCCCCAAAAGTGAAAGTAAATTCAAACTGTAACCCTTTTTACCCCCAAAATTGAAAATAAATTCAAATTTTATCTCTTTTATCCAGGAAATTCGAAATAAATTCAAATTTTAACCCTTTCCTCCCCAGAAAAATGAAAATAATTTCAAACTTTAACCCTTTTTACCCTGGAAGATTTCAAATAAATTCAAACTTTAACCTTTTTTACCCCAAAAAAATGAAAATAAGTTCAATTTTTAACCCTTTCTTCCCCAGAAAAATGAAAAGAAATTCAAACATTAACCCTTTTTACTCTGGAAAATTTGAAATGAATTCGCACTTTAACCCTTTCCTCCCCAGAAAAGTGAAAATAAATTCAAACTTTAACCCTTTTTACTCTGGAACATTTGAAATAAATTCAGACTTTAACCCTTTTTACCCCAAAAAATGGAATTAAATTCCATTTTTAATCCTTTTCTCCCCAGAAAAATGAAAATAAATTCAAACTTTAACCCTTTTTACCCCAAAAAAAATGAAAATAAATTCAATTTTTAACCCTTTCCTCCCCAGAAAAAAAAATGAAAATAAATGCAAACTTTAACCCTTTTTACCCTGGAAGATTTCAAGTAAATTCAAACTTTAACCCTTTCCTCCCCAGAAAAAATGGAATTGAATTCCATTTTTAACCCTTTCCTCCCCACAAAAACTGAAAACACGTTCCGATTTCCCCGGGAAAAGCCGCGGCTGCTCAGTGCCGGCGTTCCCTGGAGCCCCCCGGGGTATTTTGGGGTGAAACGCAGGATTTGCCCCCGCAGGGGAGGAGGAGGACAAGGCCAAGGCGGCCGAGGGCGAGCGGCGCGGGCTGAAGCGGCTGCGCGACGAGAAGGACGAGCACGGGCGCGCCTGGCACGAGTTCCGCGAGGAGGCCTACAACAGCCGGTGGGCAGAAACGGGGGAAAATGGGGAAAATGGGGAAAAATGGGGAAAAAATGGGCAAAAATGGGGGTTTGTGGGGGAAAATGGGCAAAAAATGGGGATTTGTGGGGAAAAAAATGGGGATTTATGGGGAAAAATGGGCAAAAAATGGGGATTTCTGGGCAAAAAATGGGGGTTTATGGGGGTTTCTGGCTACAACAGCCGGTGGGCAGAAACGGGGAAAAATGGGGAAAAATGGGAAAAAATGGGAAAAAATGGGGGTTTGTGGGGAAAAAAATGGGGGTTTGTGGGGATAAAATGGGCATTTCTGGGCAAAAAACGGGGATTTCTGGGGAAAAATGGGGGTTTATGGGGGTTTCTGGCTACAACAGCAGGTGGGCAGAAACGGGGAAAAACGGGAAAAAATGGGCAAAAAATGGGGAAAAATGGGAAAAAATTGGAAAAAAATGGGAAAAAATGGGGGTTTGTGGGGAAAAAAATGGGGATTTGTGGGGAAAAATGGGGATTTCTGGGGGTTTCTGCCTACAACAGCCATTGGGCATGGGCACCAAACGGGCAGGAACGGGCAAAAATGGGGAAAAAAATGGGGATTTGTGGGGAAAAAAGGGATTTATGGGCAGAAAATGGGCAGAAAATGGGCATTTGTGGGCAAAAATGGGCATTTGTGGGAAAAAATGGGCATTTGGGGGCAAAAATGGGCAATTTGTGGGAAAAAATGGGCAATTTGTGGGGAAAAATGGGCAATTTGTGGGAAAAATGGGCAATTTGTGGGGAAAAAAAGGCTATTTATGGGCAAAAAATGGGCAGAAAATGGGCATTTGTGGGCAAAAATGGGCATTTGTGGGCAAATTGTGGGCATTTCCTGGGCACTGGGGACATCTGGGCCTTGGGGAGCCTTTCTGGAAGTTTTTGTAACTTCAAAAAAAATTTGGGGGGGATTTTCAACTCAAGAATTTGGGATTCTTCCCAAACTTTGCCATTTCCACCCCAGAATTTGGGATTTTTCCCAAACTTTGGCATTTCCACCCCCGGAATTTGGGATTCTTCCCAAACTTTGGCATTTCCCACCCCCAGAATTTGGGATTTCCCCCTCAGAATTTGGGATTTCCCCCCAGAATTTGGGATTCTTCCCAAATTTTGCCATTTTCCACCCCCAGAATTTGGGATTTTTCCCAAACTTTGCCATTTTCCACCCCAGAATTTGGGATTTTCCCCAAATTTTGCCATTTCCCACCCCCAGATCCAAATCTCCGCCGCCGCCCGAGGAGGAGCCGCCGGAGGGGGAGGAGGACGAGACCCTGGTGATCCTGGACACCTGTACGGGAATTTCGGGGAATTTTGGGCAATTTCGGGGAATTTTGGGCAATTTCTGGGATGAGCTGGGAGATTTCTTTTGGAATTTGAGGTTTTTTTCAAGGATTTATGGAATTTGAGGCCATTCTGGGGGGGATTCTTGGAATTTGGGGAGAGGTTTTGGGGTTATCTCCATTTATTTTGTGGGATTTGGGAATTTTTTGGGATGATTTGAGGTTTTTTTGGAATTTTTTGGGGTGATTTGAGGTTTTTTTGGAATTTTTTGGGATGATTTGAGGGTTTTTTTGGAATTTTTTGGGGTGATTTGAGGTTTTTGTGGAATTGTTTGGGATGATTTGAGGTTTTTTGCAATGATTTTGGAATTTTTTGGGGGTGATTTGAGGTTTTTTTGGAATTTTTTGGGATGATTTGAGGGTTTTTTTGGAATTTTTTGGGGTGATTTGAGGTTTTTGTGGAATTGTTTGGGATGATTTGAGGTTTTTTGCAATGATTTTGGAATTTTTTGGGGGTGATTTGAGGTTTTTTTGGAATTTTTTTGGGTGATTTGAGGTTTTTGTGGAATTTTTTTGGGTGATTTGAGGTTTTTTTGGAAATTTTTTGGGAGTTTTTTGGATTTTTTGGGTGATTTGAGGTGGATTTGCCTCCACCCAAGTTGGGTTTTGTGTAGAAATTCAGCAATTTTGGCATTTCGGGTGACTTTGCCTCAATTCCAGGTGGAATTTTGGGATCATTTCTCTGATTTTGGGGATTTTGGTTGGATTTGGGCTGGGAATGAAGAATTCCAGGCGGATTTTTGGGACAATTTGAGCCATTTTTGCGATTTGAACCATCCCAAGGTGAATTTTTGGGACATTTTCCCTTTGGGGCCGCTCTGCCCCAATCCTGGCCGGAATTTTGGGATAAATTCTGGGATTTTGTCTGGATTTGGGGTGGGAATGAAGAATTCCAGGTGGATTTTTGGGACAATTTGAGCCATTTTTGGGATTTGAACCATCCCAAGGTGAATTTTTGGGACATTTTCCCTTTGGGGCCGCTCTGCCCCAATCCTGGCCGGAATTTTGGGATAAATTCTGGGATTTTGTCTGGATTTGGGGTGGGAATGCAGAATTCCAGGTGGATTTTTGGGATCATTTCAAGGATTTTGGGTAGGAATGCAGAATTCCAGGTGGATTTTTGGGACAATTTTCACCGTTTTCCCATTCAAGCCCAGCCGGGATTTTGGGATAAATTTCAGAGATTTTGTCTGGATTTGAGGAGGGAATGAAGAATTCCAGATGGATTTTTGGGATCATTTCAAGGATTTTGTTGGATTTGGGGTGGGAACCAGGAATTCCAGGTGGATTTTTGGGACAATTTTCACCGTTTTCCATTCAATCGCAGCCAGAATTTTGGGATAAATTCTGGGATTTTGTCTGGATTTGGGGAGGGAACCATGAATTCCAGGTGGATTTTTGGGATCATTCCAAGGATTTTGTCTGGATTTTGCATGGGAACCATGAATTCCAGGTGGATTTTTGGGATCATTCCAAGGATTTTGGGGGAAGTAATGAGGGGAAATGGGGGAAAAATGGGGAGAAAATGGGGATAAATCAGGGAAATGGGGGAAAATTTGGAAGAAATGGGGGAAAAATCGGGAAAATATGGGGAAAAAGAAGGGGAAAAATGGGGAGAAAAGGGAAAAAAATGGGGGGGGAAAGTTTGGAAAAAAACCCAGGGGAAGATGAGGAAAAGAAGGGGAAAAAATGTGAAGAAAAGGGAAGAAATGGGGCAAAAAAGGGGAAGAAATGGGGAGAAAAGGATAAAATTGGGGCAAAAATGGGGGAAAAAAGAAGAAAAATGGGGCAAAACCAGGAAAAAAGGCAGAAATTGGGAAAAATTGGAAAAGAAAAAAAATGGGGACAAAATGGGATAAAAAGGGGAAAAAATGGGGAAAAACTGGGTGGAAAATGGGGGAAAAATGGGGAGAAAAAGGAAAGAAAAGGGAAAAATGGAAAAAACTGGGGAGAAAAGAGGGAAAGATGGAGGGAAAAAATGGGGAAAAAAGGGATAAATGGGAAAAATTAGAAAAAAAGGAAGAAAAATGGGGAAAAAACTGGAGGGAAAAGGGAAAAGAAGAGAAAAAATGGGAAAGAAAAGGAAAAAAATGGGAGAAAAGGGGGAAAAACAGAGAAAAAATGGTGCAAGAATGGGGAAAAAAGGGGAAAAAAT